TAATATTCATAAGTACTGAACAAATAATGCATTGTTTTCTGGGTTTTTGTAAATTTTGATTTCAATTTTAAACTCTCAATACATACATAAATGTGACTATTTTTTCAAACTCAACAAAGTCTATGAAAAATAATAACAAAAATACAAATTATATCCTATTCTCTAATAAATCAGAAATAAATAAAAGTTAAAATTCATTATAAAACTCGTGTTTTAATTTATTCAATACCGTATTCTTATGGACAATTTGTTGGTATTACTATCTAGGCAATTTTATTCTAAAACGGAAACTAATTAGACAACAAGTGGAATACATTTTGCACAATTTACCGTTTGTATATGTCATTTTAAATGTTATCGGTTTATAATGTTTTAAAAAAATTCAACTAATTATAAGTTATTTATAAATAAACATATTTCTTAAATAAATGTTTTACAAAATTTACACCGTTTGCAATGTGTTTATGTGAATTAATACTTGTTCCCATTGTACATTAATGGTTCAGCCGGGTCTAGTCAACAATTATATGACAACTTTCAGATAAATAGTATTAATAGTTGCAAGGTTGTATTTCTTATTCAATGCAACAGTTTTTGGCTAAACTTTTGATAGATTACTGACTTTTTTGATAAACTGTAACATAAAGTCTAATATTGAAAGTTATGTTAAAATAAATAATTTGTTAGTTTTGTAATCATTTCGTGATTTTACTTAAAATTGTGAATTGATTTGTATTTTCATTGAATTGATTGTCACTCATAATGAATATAAATTTAAACATGAATTCAATGTACAGTGGATTGAAGTCTAAACTGAATTTATTGTCAAATCTAAAGGCTTTTGATAACAATTTGTGTGAAACTAAGACTCAATTCATTGAGAACTCAATTGATTGTAGTTTTGGAGACAATAATGAATTGAATGACAAATTAATTGATTTCAGAAATTGTCGAAAATTATTGACAATTATAATGACAACCAATTGAGTGATGAATCGGAAGAGCACCGGGAGATACAGGGATTAAATAAAGTGTTGGATGAGAATAGTGGTGACCCGGAAGGGCATGTGGTGTCAGAGGAGACACAAGTAGTGCAGACTTTGGACACAGAGGTCGACGACAGAGACAGAGATGAGACGGAAAGACCGAAAGAGATGTCGGAAGTAGAAGAGGGCGGAGAGAGTGGTGTCGGAGAAGAGGTTGACAGAGAAGACAGCGTTGATTGTGAACCGATTGCCAGCACTAGTAGTTCGTGTGCTAAGAGTGTCTCCAATGATCGCCCATTTGTGTGTTTATATCCCAATTGTGTCAAACGCTTCACTCAGAAGTCAACTCTCAATCGACACAAACGCTTTCATTCGGGCGAAAAGCCATTGAAATGTGAATATTTAGATTGCGGTCAATGTTTTGCGCGCAAAGACTATTTATGTGACACAAAAGGATCGTTCATTTGAATGAAAAGAGATTTAAATGCAGTTATAAGGGATGTGATCAGAGGTTTGCGACGGATTCGCATTTAATTCGTCACAAACGGGTCCACTCGGGAGAGAAACCGTTTGTCTGCGATGTCATGGATTGCGACAAACGATTCGCACAGAAAATCAATTTAAAAAGACACAAAAATGTCGTTCCCTTGAAACTCACACCATTTGCCTGCGATGACATCAATTGTAGCAAACGTTTTACACGACAATATGATCTGGATCGTCACAAATGCGTACATTCAAGAAACACATAATAATCACATTTATATGACCGTAGAATTGCCGATAGACTTGTTATGATATTCAGATTGTAATACAAATTTCTTATATTATAATTTCAATTGTATTTGAATTGTGTTTATACAATACTGTTAAAAAACTGATACCTGTATAACAATAATTGTTATAATTTATAATTTAATTAATTTAGTTTTTGTCAAAAAATATTTAAATTACATAAACGATTGCTAACCACTTACAATCGATTACGACCATTACAACCAATTACATGTATTACGATTGAGATGTTTCTATAATTACAACAATTACTACGAATAAACAATTTAATTTGAAATAATTTTTGTTTTCATTTAAATTATTATATTTGTTTTGTTTGAACAGTAATTAAAGTATGAATAGAGAGTACGACTTATATTGAACTGACAATATATGACATGAACTGTAATTCAAGTTTTATATTGAAAGTTACAAAATGATCATGGTATGTGTTATAACTTTTGAAATCCCGAACAAATCTGTAAAGTGCATCAAAAAGAGCCCAAAAATCTAGTCTAAAAGAATGATTAAAATATTTATGTAATTTGATACCTGATATAAATTGATTAAATAACTTTTCTTATTATTTGTTTTGAAAAATGTATTTTATGAGTCATAAATTATGACCATGTAGAGTTTGAAGCTCAATATTAAAACTTTTACAAAAGGTTTTTGGACTGGATTTTTGATAACTTTTCAATACATTTTACAGATTTGTTCTAGGACCTATGGTTAAAAAGTTATAATTAATATTTTGAGAAAATTTAAAAACTAAAGTCCATGTATCAATCGCATTTTAATTTTACGCGGAATAGTTTTTAAAGTTTAAAAATCGCATGTGAAATTGCCAAGGTGCAATTATTTATCATATTTTCAAAGTAAATCAAAATACTTAAAAGTACTCAAAAACCAAATGTATGCTTATTTTCAATTCTAATTTTCACTAATTTTCTGTTAATACTGTATATTGCATAGTTCATTATATTTTTATCGTTTAAAGTTTCAAGTACACTACATGGAAAGTGAGATCAATTATAGGTGGTTTATTGAATACAATTGTAAAGTAATTTATATTTTGACATAGAACTCGTACTGGTACATTTAATCAATAATGGTAATGATAAAATATGTTCACAAAAACAATGTACTAGTCAATAGTCTACTTAATAAATTATAGTATTATAGCTTTATTTGTCAAGCCAATAGTGCATGTGTTATTTTGATTAGTCTTATAGCTAGAAATAATAAGAAAAACAATATTAAGTACAATAATTGATAGAAAATTTATTATTACCTTGAAGACCGTTTTTCAAAAATTATAGTATAACTGTACTTAAAATCTGTTTGCTCATAATCCTAATTAATAAAATAATAATTAAACTAAATGTAGTATTGTATAATGCTAAGCTCTCCATGAAATATTAACTATCAATGACATTTGTCTAAAATTCAAAATCGTTCAAACGTATCATAATTAGTTAAATAATTTAGATTATACTGTATAAATTAAAATTGTTATTGTAATTGTTATACCTTCATATTTAATATGCTATCTAAAAATATATTTTAAATTTCATATACCTTTCAATGTCCTTTATGAATCTAAAATAAGTTTCATCAGAAAAAATACTTTGGTACGAATGTACTGATAAGTCCTTAATATTAGATTTAACGCAATTGACATTGAATGTCTCCTGGGTCAGATTATGAAACTTTTTAATGTATCACTTATCAAGTAAATTTTCAATTTATTTATTATAAAATTTATTATAAATAATTAATGATCAAGCAGGTGCATGGTTCGCATACATATACCTAAGTAAAATACACGATATATTTTACAGTATAACTTACGTATATATAAAACGATAAACTTTGTGATCAGTTCATATCGTGTATTGAAAAATAGAAAGTGAAATGAAAGCACCTAGTGCAGTTATAGTGCTCATAGTATGCCTGTCGGCGGCCACGCCATTACTGGCCTCCAGTGCCGTCGGCGACGTTGTCGGCAAACTGACGGTCGGATACCAGGGATGGTTTGGCGCCAAAGGAGATAACTCACCGCATAATTCATGGATCCATTGGCCCCACAATAGCGACCACCCTTACAAAGATCACACAAATTTTGAAATCTATCCTGACACTCGGGAATACACGCATACCTACCAAACCGGTTACGCAAACCTCGGTAATGGACAGCCGGCTAAGTTGTTCTCGTCGTGGGATAAGCAGACTGTGGACACACACTTCAAATGGATGAAAGAGGTGACTATCCTAGTTACCATATATATCCTTGAATAGCCTTATGTCTCGCTATTTATCAATGAGTGTATGTCATAAAGACGACAATTACATGACCCGTACGTTTACATTTGAAAATAGCTTTTATTCAAATGCATTGCAATTAACTATAGGTATTAGTAATACTATAAGATATTGCTATAACATGTTTTGTTGGGTCAACTCTTACCCCCACCCCCACTCAAGAGGTTAAAGATAAATTACTGTCAGTCGCTTTAAAAACCCTGCCCTGGCCTGCAAAAGGGCCTACATTTGCACACTATATCCACTGTATTCATTGAATTAAACGTACGAAACCCATTATCAGGATAACATCGATACGGCGGCCCTCCAGCGATTCGCGAGTAGCGTTAAACGCGACCCAATCGCACAGAAAAGTTTGAACGGTGTGGCCGACAACGTGAGGGCGGCCGCCGAGGCTCACGACCGCAAGTTTTACATCATGTGGGATATCAGCGGTTGGAATAACTTCGCGACTGAAATCATCGAGGACTACGACAACAACATCAAGCGCCTGGTGTCCAGTAAGGCCTACGCCCACCAGAACGGCAAACCCGTGGTCTGCATCTGGGGCTTCGGGTTTAACGGAAGGCCGCAGGACACGAAGGGCGCCATTGCCCTCATCGAGCACTTCAAGCAACAGGGTCTCTATGTGGCGGGCGGTGTGCAGACCCAGTGGCGCACCGACACCACCGCCTGGAAGGACGTCTACACGAAGCTCGATATGTTGCAGCCCTGGACGGTCGGCCGCTACGGTAACATCAAAGGGGCCGAGGATTACAAGAAGACGCTGGAGGCGGACCACAACACACTGAAGCAGCATAACATTGGTTAGTATCACTCGGGATATATTTCCATAGGAATAATACTAAAACAAATGCAAACCAATAATAATTTTAAAATTTATTTCACTTTATATGATAATGTACACAAAACATTGTATTTTCCAATGCTATAGATTATCAGCCTGTCCTATTTGCGGGATCCTCATGGAGCAATTCGCATCCCGCGTCCAAACGCAATGAAAACCCACGTGTGCATGGTGACTTCATGTGGCGTCAGTTCGTGAACGTGCGAGAGCTGGACATCCCGTCGTGTTATGTGGCGATGTTTGACGAGTACGACGAGGGGACGGCCATCGCAAAGGCGGCCGAGAATAAGTCAATGATTCCGACAGACCAGTGGTTCCTGACGATGGACGCCGACGGGGTGGCCGTCAGCGCCGACTTCTACCTCCGACTCGCCGGCGATGGCAACCGAATGATGCAAAAGCAGATACCGTTGACTCAAACGCATCCCACAAAACACTACCCGTAATGCCATATATATGTCATT